AACAAGATAAAGAGATAACTGTGACTTTTGGAAACTTGTCTGAACCCTGCTCTATAGATTTGCAAAATACTTTGTACACTGAAAAGTGCTACTCATACCTAGGGCAGTCAGGCACCATGGTGGTTAAGGCACTGGATTCCCACATGGCTAACCATATTTCGAGTCTAGAACCTGGCAGCTTAAAATCACACCTGGTATATGTGCATGCATGCCCAAGGTCCCAGGAGAAGAATGAAAGAGAGGGGGTTGTGGTATGGCCATCACCCCTGGGAAGTGATTTTTCACTTTTCCTCTCTCTGTCTCTCTCCAGTGGGTACACATTCCCATGCCTGATAGCAGAACCCTAAACGAAAACCAGTGCTACTTGTATCCATTATTATTTTATCATATAAGTTAAGAGGTGGCAAGTTCGGAGAAAACTTTGATTAAAAGCAGAGAAGAGTCTGATCATTAATGAACTGAAATTGACTTGTGAAGGAAAACTGGATATGGCCACTTGATACTTTTCACTAAAAAGATGGTGCTCCGTAGGTAATTCTGCTTCAAATGGAACAGGAAGACATTAGTATTTATTCGTATTTATGGAGACTTCAGTGTAATTTCAGAATTGTACTGTAAATTGGTGATACAGAGTTTTATTGTTGTTGTTTTTTAAGAGAGATTTTTGCTGCAAGGTGTGTGTGCTCACTGCAGAGACAGAGAAAGAGAAAGTGAGAAATCACTCCCAGGAGGGATGGCCATGCCATAGTCCCATCTCCTTCACTCTCTACTTAAGATTTGGGGCATGTACACACACACAAACCCAATGTGAGTTTCAAGCCTCTGGGTCCAGGACTCTAACCATGGTTAGCCATGTGGGAGTCCATTGCCTTAACCAGTATGCCACTTGCTGGCCCCTGATTTTTAAAGATATGGTATCTGCTCTTTAGTAGGATTTCACAGAGAAGGAATAACCCAGTCTGGGTTTTGAAGGGTGAAAAGGAGTTTGCTAAAATGAAGGCATGCTCGACACCGGAAGCAGCATGACAAAGGTATAGAAGCTGACAGTAGCATGCCGTGCTCTGAGAACTGCATGTGCTTAGCATGGCTGGAACGTAAGTTCCATTCCTCACTCCTGACATGAATATGATTCTTCTAAGAGGCTTCCTTTTCAACTTCTTAGACTTAGACCCTTCCACCATCTTTCTCTGTGGATCATATTGTTGAGGATATAGCAGCCATTAAGTCCAGGCTCTCTGGATGTAAGTGTCAGGCCCGAGGACCCCGGGGGATGGTACTAGCCATTTACTGAGAAAAGGAAAAATAGGGTGGGAGTAAAGGCGATAAAAGTTCCGTGTTTGACACATTCGGTGTGAGATGAGAAGGCAGTTGGAGATGAGAGTCTGGAGCTCAGATTCATCTTCCATCCCAAGACCTAGAGGCCTATAGAGAACAGCATCCATCTGCTCCCGTTTCTCACCTTGAGTCTCCTCATCCTATCACAGGCCACTGGGTCCCATCCTGTCAACTTCTCAGTGTTTCTCCCCCTCCGTCTCCTCACCCCGGTTCACTACTGTCAGCAGGCATACATGCTCTGATGTGTTCATCTTACAGCCAAACCTTCCTTGACATTCTGCCATATGCTGCAACATGGTTGAACCTTAAGGGATTGCGTCAGGTGCTCTACGCCAGTCACAATGACCAAGTACTGTATGATTCCACTTATCTGAGGTCCTTAGAATCTTCAAATCATGGAGACAGAAAGTAGAAAGGTGGTTGCTAGGGACTAGGAAGAGTTGGGAATGGGGAATTACTGTTTAATGGGTGTAGAATTTCAGGTTTATAAGGTGAAAAGTGTTCTGGAGAGGATGGTGGTGACAGTTGTACTTTATGGATGTATTTAATGCCACTGAAATAGATACTTAAAAATGGTTAAGATGGTAAACTTTAACATGTATTTTAACACAATCAAGATACCTGAGAAAAGTTTTTTTTAAAGCTATAGGACTAGGGCATCTGTGGATGGCTTAATGGTTATGTTGCTAGACTCCCATGTAGTCGACCATAGTTTGAGTCCCGGACCTGACAGCTTAAACTCACATCAGGCGCATGTGTGTGTATGCCCAAGATCCCGAGAGGAGAGTGGAGAAGGGATTGTGGCATGGCCATCCCCTATAGGGGGTGATTTCTTGCTTTCTGTCTCTCTCTGTCTGTCTGGCAAGCGCACATGCCCTATAGCAAAAACCTCTCCAAAAAAA